TTCCGACGCGAATAGCCGACGACGGCCTGTTCCAAGCCAAATCTGGTGCTGTGTCGGCTGTTCCGCTGGGTTGGTCTCCATCCAGTGCCCACCTCCCCGAGGAAACGCACGTTGTTGTGGGGCGGTTGGCTGGCTGCTCTCCCACCTAGGTTGGTGCCTAGGCAATTGTCTGGCGTTTCGAAGCTGCAATGCACCGTACAGGAGAAGGAAGAAAAGCGGCGTGGTTCGTTTGGTATGTGTGTCGTGTATGTTTGTGTGTGCGTGCGTGCGTGCGTGCGTGTGTGTAGAGGTCGAATGGGAAGGAAGACGAAGCTGTAGTGAGTCCGTTAGTGGATGAATGCGTGAATGGTGAGCGAGACGAGGAATTAGGCGGGGAGCAACTTTCAGTCCCGATCTGCACTTGCATATATGCTCATGGCACCCTCCATCTCGACCACCGGTGGTAATCAACTCAACACACCCATACACCGTTCTTGCATCGTCCACCTTTTCCTGCCGTCATCTTCCTCTCTCCTACACACGATCCTCGTCCTCACATAAGCACAGCCACGCCCACACGCTCGCCCACACACAACCCACAAACAGCGCTTGACGCCGAAATCGCTAGTGGGCGTGCCAACGCCTCAAATCTCTGCTCAGATACCCCAGCCCTTGCGAGTGAAAGCAAGGGGGTGGGTGGGAAGCCAATAGTACTCGGCCAACTTTTCGCTTTCCTTCCCAGTTTTACTCTGCAAACGGTCCATCTCCCGTCTTGTCTCGTCTCCTCTCGTCTGCCTCCTTCGACACTGTATCGCGTTTCGACCAGGTCTTGAATCGACCTTGTCGCAAACAAGGGGCATCGACGCGGGCAAACTTCCGCTGCTCCAAGTTTGAGGAATCATATCACCGAGACACCCACATCCTGCGGGTCCTTCCGTTAAAGATTCGGGGTAGCAAAGCATTCAAATCCCCGCTGGTGCACCCAACGTCCTTGCCGTACATAGTGAACAGACACGGGTATCTGTACCGGGTGCCACAGTATTCGTACGCCCTCGCGACGACCGTCACGACCTGTCGTCCTTGCTCATACCGCTCGTCCGGATATCTTCAAACCCGCATCCTTGGGCATCACCTAACCCAGGCCAGTTTTTGTTCACCTCCGTAGCCTCTGCTTATACTTGCGGTCGCTCCTGAGCACCGGTTTCGAGTTCTGTCCTGTCATCCAAGCTGCTCAGAGCTTCTTCCAGCAGGCCGCAGGCGTACGTAACCTTGAGTCGTCCGAAGCCTTACAGTAGCTTCTCAATTGGGTCTTAGGGTTTCGTCACTTGAGCTTTCTGCAAAGTATTGGGTTTCGGAGCCCTGCTCGGTCTCATCCCGGCCACCAACTCTGTCAGCCAGCAGTTGGCGACCCCCTTTTGGGCTACCACCCGATCGATCAGTGGGCGGGGGGGAAATTGCCATCGCAGGGCCTCCCGTGCTTGGCTGGCGAAGCAATTACAAGTGGTACTGGTTTGTCAAACTGCAACTGCCTCTTGTTAGGTATGCTGACGTAATTCCCATCGGCAATTCAGACAGGGACGGCGGCGGTCTAGCCTTTTAGACGAGCTAGGGGTCATCTGTCGAATCCTGGAATAGCCACAGAATCACCTCTTGCGCTACACAGGGAGCTGAAAATTGTATAGACTGGGAACAGACAGCCCCTCGTGTTGGTCACTGCCACTTAACCCTCTCCAGACCACGGAACAGGACAATCTCGACGACGGCCATGTCGGAGACGCTACGGGTTCTCGACGAGGATGCCGCCTGGTTGGTTCCGCATCTGCCATCAGAATCTGCCATCCAATCAGCCGAGACCCAGAGTCGTCCTTTCGTTACTCTGACCTTCGCAACATCGCTAGATTCTTCACTTTCCCTCGCTCCTGGAGTACGTACGCGTCTATCGGGCCCCGAATCCAAGGCCATGACCCACCATCTGCGTCGCCAGCATGACGCTATCCTCGTTGGAGTTGGGACTGTTCTCGCCGACGACCCAGGCTTGAACTGCCGCATCGCAGGTGCGGGTCTTGAAGCTCAACCTCGGCCTATTGTGGTGGATCCTCGCGGCCGCTGGGACTTTACTGAGCATAATAAGGTCTTTGAGGTCGCCCGAGCAGGCAAAGGACTCGCGCCTTTTGTTCTCATCGGGTCGACGGCGGCTGTCCATTCCAAGAAAAAATCCATTTTGGAAGCTCACGGTGGAAAATTTGTTGTTCTTGACGCCAAAGAGACTGAGCCGCGTTTCGATTGGCAGTCTATCCTTTCTGCTCTCCATAGCGAAGGCCTACACAGCGTAATGGTCGAAGGAGGAGGCCAGGTTATCAATTCGCTCTTGAACCCTGGCTCCCAGCAGCTCATCGACACGGTCATCGTGACCGTTGCACCCACTTGGCTTGGACGGGGTGGCGTTGTCGTTTCTCCCGAGCGAGTCCATACTCCAGGCGGGACGCCCGTTCCTGCTGCCCGATTGGCAAATGTAGCGTGGCATCAATTTGGTGAGGATATCGTCCTTTGCGGCAAACTCAGCCGCGAGGGCTAGGTGAGAGTCCGTTCCTACCACCCCCAATGACGAACGCGCCATGAGTTCCTGGCTGACCTGAGTTGGCCATGCAGCGTCGTAGCGAGCCACCTCCAAGCCATGGATGATTATCACATGCCTGAAACTTGGTCAGCCTTGCTGGGCAATCACTTCAGTAGCTGGTTAAGCAGGTCATTGGCGCAACCCTCCCAGCTGGACGCCCGAGAAACGGTATCATTTTGATCAACTGTCGAGACCGCCCTCTTAGGTCAGGGCCCTGTAATTATCAATATGCGCCTGCCTCTCCACCGAAGGTCTATCGTGCGTCTCTTGTCTGGGCATATCCTCGGTCCCAGCTTACGTCTCGTTATTCAATCGTACGTCGGAGACGTTCAGACGTGCCCCCGCTTCCTAATCTCTAGCCACCTGAGCGGAGCATAGAAAATCGCTGTTAGCACGAACGCCGATTCGAAGCCAATATCTCCCGTTGTTCTTGCAATAGGCCCTGTGAACCACACCTGGTCCATCCCGGGTATGGTGAGCCCGAAACTCAAAACACTTGCTCCGATGGCGGCGAGGCCAGAAGGCAACATGGGAGCGGTATTCCAGGCGGCATGGTCGTATGAGCCATAGTCCATCCGGCGAAAGAGAACCAACTCTTCGATGATGACCGCGTCAAAAGAACCGGCCCAGTACCCGATCAAGCCCAAAAAGTTCTGAAGCGAAGTGGCCCATGCCTCCGCTGCACGAATAGCCGTCGGGATCATGATGCCCAGGGCGATGACGACAAAAACAATTCGGGGAACCTTGGCAAATACCGGCAGCATCAGCTGCATGCAGAGGGCGACGGAGTACATGGAGGTTGCAATGTTACCGATTACACTCAACGCGAGGGCCACGAGTACAACCTTTCCGAAGACACCGGCAGGGGCCAACATGGCGGCCATGACGCCCCCAACGCCATATGTATCCCATCCCGACTTCCACTCGGGGACATTGTTGAGTGCACCCCCAATTGCTGCGCCTAAAACGAGAAGTGGGATGGACGGGGTCAAGATCCCGAGGTAGATGTACGAAGACATCCTCAGCCTACACAGCAGTCAGCAGCTAACCATCTGAGGAATGGATACAACAACGTACTTGGTGGTATTATTGGGGTCGTGGTACACAGTGAAATCCGATGCCGTTCCGCCAAAAGTAATGAAGTACCCCGCCATGATACTCCCATAGTTGAGTATCTGAGCTGCTGTCGGAGGGGGCGCCTCGGCCTGTTTCCACAAGTGCCGTCCACTGCAGCCTACCGCGATCACTATTGCGACAAGATTGGGGAGCCATTGCCACCGCTCCCACATGTGAAGCGCGCGGTATCCGACGAAAGAAGCAGCAAAACTGACGAGGCACGTAATCACGATGCCAACTTTCACGTCGATATGGCCGGGGTTGACGGCTGCGAGGGTCTGGCCCCCGACAATCGAGGAGGACAGGGAGAAACCGGTTACGGTAGCGGCGTTGAGGAGGAGAGGGATGGAAACGAGGTAATATCTGTACCGCCCGATGTTCAGCGGAATTTCGAACTTTCCTAGTAGCGAGACATTGACTTACCCAAAGGAATATCTGGCCTGAACGAGCTGCCTCAGTCCGGTATAAGAGCCGGCAATGCCCATGAATGCAGGGGCCACGGTTGTCAGCATCGAAAAGAAGAGTATCACCAACGAAGCATCCCTCAAACTCAACCCAAATTGTGCAGTGGCTAGCGCGCCCGTTGGGATGCTGTGGGCACACGTTAGCGATCGATGGTTCGGTCTCGAACGGAACTGCAATCGAGACTTACGGCAGTAGGCAAAGCAGACTGGTGAAGAAAACGGTGAAGAGGTTACTGTAGTTGGTGTTGGTACGCTTCTCGAGAGACACTGGGAGGACCCCATTCTCCTCGACGCCGGCATCCAGTAGGCGTTGATACCACTTTGGGTTTCGGCTGCTCTCCCTATGGTGTATCTTGCCGTCTTCGACCGTCACTGACTGGTCAATGCCGCCGTGGCTCTTGGAGGCTGTGGGGTGGCTCTCCATGTCATATGTTTCGAACGCTTGCTTCGGCGCGATCGAAGCCCGATGAAACAAGCAGTAGGTTACGGGTGCAGGATAGGGGGATGGTCAGACGGTCGTCACCTTTACTGCGAGCTCGCCCGGTTTTTTTCTTTTCGTTGTTGTATTTTTTATTTTTGGCGGCACAGATACAACGTTTGGGCCAAGAGCGGCCCTTTTCCGAATACTTGCTTTCCTCCCACGTCGATCACCTACAAGAGTGCACCAACCTGGGTTTCAGAGGAATAGGCGAGCTTGGGTTAGGGGAGGAGACCTGCGAGAATGGGCCGCTGTACGACAGCCGGTCAAGACAAGACGCTTCGGGAATCTCTCAGCGTGGTTTGGAGTGGGCAGCTCGCTTCCGTCGATGGGTCTTCTGGGTTTTTCAGCCCACGAACTGAAAAAGCCCCGTCGCAGAAATGGCGATATCGATGTTGTTCCAAAGACCGCCTAGCTCGCTAGAGGGCGGCGCGTCAAAGGACGCCGTGACAATCGAGGTGTTGTCTGATGCGTGGTTGCAAAGAGTGTTGGTATTCGGTAATGTCGGCCCGAGCAGTTCCGGTATTGGCGAATGTCCAAAGTATGGGATGGGGGTTGGTTGGCAAGCACGAGCACGGCAGAGGATTTGGCCGGATACCACGCCTTGAGAAAGGGGAGCACCACAAGAAGTCGCCAAAGAGTACAGTCGAGGCGGCCTAGATGAGCAGAGAGCCTATGCTCGCTGGGTGTGGCACAATCCGTGCAATATGGAAGCAATGACGGGCGTTGATGGTTCGAATTGGCGACGATAACTAACGCTGGAAATTAAGAGTCGTGGTGCAAGTTTACGCCTTCCGAAACGGCTCGAGTCATCGTTATGCCCATGAATGGCCAAAAGTCGTTCCTCGATATGTCGAGCCCAAGCCCAGCAGCAGCCAAAACACAATTCGAGCAGACCGTTTCGTCCCAAAAGCTAAGCGGGCTACTTTGTAAAGGCCTGGATGTTCTACCGGGACAAGGGGAAGTGGTATGAGAGCATGTGGGGGGGCATGGAAGGGCATGGATGGGTGACGGAGATTGGGGGAGCAGAAAGCAAAATATGACGAGGGCTGGGAGGTGAGAGAAAAGAGCAAAAAGGCAAAAGGGCAGCTCCCTCGACAACCTACAAGCTCGGCCACGACCACCGTTGATATATGCCTACACATCCTCACGAATCCCCAAGTATGGCAAGCGCACGGGGTAGGAGGAAGAAAAGAAAGCGAGCGGTAAACTCCGTCACTGGCTGGGGAGCAAGAGCACCGAGCCGGGTGCAAACGTCATGCCATGCCGCCGGAAAACCAACCCCCCGAAAAGGACCCTGACGGAGGGGATCAAGCTCTGTATCTAGGGGTTTGTTTTTACTCTGGTGCGTTGGGAGGAATGAGTCTCGACTTTTCCGCTTTGTACCCTGCCCGCCTCTCTCTTTGTCCCGTCTTTCGCTATCATTATGCCGCCTATCCGCTGTCTCCCCGCCTCCTTCGCAACGCAAGTCTCGCTGTTTCCGGCAACCGGATACCCTGGAAAACTCTCCCCTAGGGCCGCCCCTGAGGAAGGACAGTTTCCGCCTCTCCAACTTCTGACGCGACCGTTGCGTTGTGTTGCTGCACTAAAACTATACTTTGTCGTTGCCTTCCTTAACTCGAAACTTGGCAGCCTTCTGGAATCCTTCTCCCGTCCGAGCACCTTTCCACATGGGACTGGAGACCTCCAATGGTCCCTACCACTTGGGGGCTGCTACATCCCGTACCCTCCTTGTCCCACCGTCTCTATCTCGCACCTTAATACAAAGTGCGTACTAAGGACCTGAGGAAGGTATGCTTTGCTTTGGCTGCACGTCCCCCAACGGCTGCGCACCCCGGGACATGCGTCATGTCTTGTCCAAGTTGACAGGGTTCTGAGCTGTCAGAGTTGGGCGGAGAGAGGCTGTTGCTGCTGGCTGTGCTTGCCCCCCTCGAGCTCATGGGGAAAAAGTCCGTCAAGCCCGCCGGAGGCCTAGCGTCCCAGCTTCCACATCACCAACCAGGGACCAATTCCCCCCTCAGGAGGCCGTTGTCGGTGGTCAAATGGCCAAGTCGAAGAGCTAGGTCTAAAACGATTTAATTTTTTTCCACTGCGTACGTACCGACAAAACCACTTGTCACCTGCACCAAAAGAGAAAAAAAAAGCTTTTCCACTAGCGAGTCTGGCCAACGCAGAGTCTGCAAGCGTTACCCCCTCTGCGAACCCTTTGTCTTCTATATCATCATCATCCTTGGCCGCCGACTATTCACGATTCAAGAAAAGAAAAGAAAACAGGAAAAAAAAGGAAAGAAAAAAAAAAGACAAAAATAAATTGAGTATGGACCTCCCTCGACGGTGGGAGGGCGGGCGCCTCGATAACAACCTCGAGGGCGGTGCCAAACTGTGAGGCTTTATCCTAGCACGCCTCGTGGTCCATGACTTTCGAGGGATTCTTCTAGTCGGCGTGTTCGGCGCGTCGCCAGAGTTCCGTCGTTGCATCGCGCGTGGCGAGCCAGGTTCCTCCATGCGCAACAACCTTCCCCTCCCCTCTCTTCTCTGTTTACTCTCTCCTCTCCTCTCGTCACGAGTCGTGTCTCTGCAATCAGCTGGCTGGATGAACGCCAACGTGGTCTTGCGATTGCCACCGTGGCGGCGGGTTCACATGCAGTGCGAGCCTGTAGGTTTGGCCTGTTGGACCTTTGCGGTGTGCTGCTACACAGGGTCCAGTGCTATCCGCCACGCTTCCTCGGTTGTACGGATACACCCGCTGGCGAAGAAAAGAAGAAGGAAGAAGAAAAAACCCATGTCAGCGGGAGCATGGTACACTACCTCGTGCGTCTCATCGGTCCTCCTGTGCCGTATCTGCCGTCACCACTTTTTCCACGGCGGCAGATGAGGAGGGTGACATATCGGGTGCAACGGTTCGAATTTCGTACAAACAACATGTCCACGACTGTCCTTGTGCGCATGACTCTTCCAGGTAGCCTGTTGGACTTTGTTTGACGCAGTCCTGGAACATGGCCAAACGGGGTGAAAATACCATAAGCCCTCGGCGTCTTTGTGGCATACCAGCCTCGATTTGACGAATCGAGGGCCAAGTACAGCCAAGGGGCTAAGCGATATTCCTCTCATGTAGCGGGCACAGCTCCAACGAGACCAAATCAAAGCTTATCTAGGGGGGCCTTGACGTGGGCTTCGGGTGACAGCTATTCTTTCCGAGATTGAAAAGATCGACAAAGGCAGATGGCGAGTGCAGTGCCGGTCACGCCTGAGCCACGATCAGGCAACTGAGAGCGCCGTGTTCAGAATGGCACGCAGACACGGTGATGATTTCAGTACGCTAACGTGGATAACGGCCTCTTGGTCTATTCAAGTGCAACCTCGGCTCTACTTTGCCATCAACGGGCGTTCACTCCGACTCCTCGCGGCTCAGTTATGCTTTGTAGTCGTCGTTGGTTTACGTTTTGACTATTCCAGGCCGCAAGCTTACTCGGTCGCCCTCAAGGTTACAAGGGAACTACCCCGTCAGTATCCATAGCGTCCGGAGCCTCCTCGAAATCAATTGTGCACCGTTTCATCGACTCGAAGCCTGGCATCTAGTAATGCTAGCCCCGTAAGAACCAGAACTCCTCGCTTTACCGTTTTTCCCTCAAGGGAGAGGGAGAGACTGACGCAGCAACTCCTCGGCCTTTCGGCTGCGTGGCGTTATCGAGCAATCAAAGTGCTCCGGATGGCTTTCGTTTTGAACGTCAGAACACCACAAACCTCGACAAATATGAGGCCACAAATCAACTCACCAGGTACCACCGTTGGTAAAGGCAACCTTGGGCTCGACAACTTGACCATCTGGCCCGACTTTCTTGCTGAAGTTGAGAGTGGCAAGCATCGTGGCAACAGCAATCCAGACACTGTTGTCTGCCAGAAACCGGCCGATGCAGACTCGACGCCCGAAGCCGAATTGACCAAGTGGCAGGGGCTCGCCATGACCTCCAGATGATTGCGGCAGGTACCTGTCTGGGTTAAAAGACTTGGGGTCCTGGTATATCCTCTCATCTTGAGTCATGGCGCGCGAATTAAAGAAGACAATCGACCTGGGTAGAGCCGTCAGTTTTCCTTCTGGAAGCATTCGGGTGTTCTTTTTTGAGGGGCCGGCGAGAGGGCTGAGGACAAGTGAACCTACCCCTTCGGGATGAACATGCCATTATAGACATCGCTCTCAAGGGCCTTGTGGGGAATTCCCAGCGGCGCCAACGGTGACCACCTGGATCTCCTCGTCAGGAATCATTCCCCATGGACTTTGAGTCACAGGAACCCTTACCTGTAGACCTCCTGGACAACGTGGTCGATGTACGGAAGAGATGGACGGTCCGACAGATCAGGCAGCCGGTCGTGCCCGACAGCCTCATCGATCAATGCCTGGGCCTTCCTCTGGACCTTGGGGTTCAACACCATATTCAATACAAAAACAACAATGGTGGCCCAAGTCTGTTGGAGGCTGGAGTCAGCAATGTCTTACTCGTGGCAGTCGCGGGACCAAGTTACCGTGTCTGCCCCTGCGATAAAGATGGCGCCTGCAGCCCCCTTGATGTCGTCAAGTGACCATTCATTAGTGTGCCCTCTCTGGGTGTTGGAAGTGTATGTTTCCAACAGCGTGTGCGCAAAAGATGGGCTGTCCCTGCCGCGAGCCTTGGCTTGTCAGCGTTGCGGGCGTGTCAAAAATAACAAGGGGCATAAAGTTACCACTTCGTATTGTGCAACTGCGAACGGAACATCATGCAACTTCCGTATGGCCCATCCCCATTCGCGCGCAAATTTCAGTGACCAGTCTCGAACTAACCAGTCGGGCAAATAACGAGCTGTGGTGCCGGCCAAAGTTCATCAATGTACGGTTCTCAGAAACGGGATTACGTCCGCTGCTTACCAAGGGGGAAGATGTCAACAATGCTGTTGGCGGGGACGCCACCGTTCCCAGTCGCGTACATGGCGTCTTCGGCTATCTTGACGTACGGGTCGTTGTCATCTTGTACGTCAATCCCAAAGCTCACCTTGAGAACAATGGCAACGGCAAACCTGGAATCGTCAGACGAATCTCGAATGGAGACTCAAAAATCGGAGGTGCCTCACCTTTTCATGGACATTTCCCAGTTCTCTGGGTTCTGTACTATGCTGTGGACCGACTTGCGTGCCTCTGTAACCTGTAAAGAGTGCCACTGCCGAACGTTTGTGTTGCTGAAAGTGGTCTGCAGCAGCTTTCGGTGCATCTGCCAGCGGGGACCAAAGGGGAGGAAGGTCAGCGTCTTGCCCCAACCCATGCTGCAGACGTACAACATACGTTAGCATGTCCACTGAGCGCTCAAGCATAACAAAGCGACGAGGGGGGGTTTCAACGTACACTTCGAAGAGGACAAATCTGGGCCTGTCGCAGTAGTTGGCCCCTCTACGGTCGAGGAGATCCTTGGCGGCATTCACGCTGTTCAGCACGATCATGGACTGGCCAAGGGACCTGACGTGAATAACATCTGACTCTTAAGAAAGCCTCTGTCAACTAAAGGTCTTTGGCGAAAAAGAAGCGGAGGCTTACTGTATTCCCTGGCCCATTTCTCGTACACTTCGGCTGTCCTCTCTTTGGGTATAATACGAAGATGGCCAAGAAGGAACTCGCCTGGCGGACCAGGGGGGAGAGGCGGATGTGCCCAAGACGACCGCGGCCGGACGAGAATGAGAAAGACGACGATAGCCAGACAGATGAGCGTTGTCGTCCAGCCCGGGCTGATACGGTCGGAGTCCGTCATAGCGAAGTCGGGCGACCAGGGAGGTGGCCCGCAAGTGCAAGACGTCGACCAGTAACGGGACTTTTGGATGGTGAAGCGAATCCAAGCAAGAGCAAGATGGAGAATAGGCAAAGGAAGGTGCCACTCAGAAAAGGGCAGAGTTCTGGTGAACAGAAGACAACCACGAAGAACAAGTAAGAGAGCAGCAAGCCGCGGTGGATGGGAAACC